ATATATATATATATATATATATATATATATATATGGAGAATTCATGAAACCATCCATAACTGAATCCACACAGGAAGGGTTAAAGTTTGTCTGAACAAATCATGTTAAAGTGCCCCGTTGATTCTTGTTAAACGCTAAATAATGTGACACCATTTACGTCTGAAATAAGATGCGCCAAATTACAGAATTACTACGAAGCGATTCAATTAACATGCACACCACGCACTGCTCTGCACACTCACAGGGATGACCTGTATAGCTGTGGCGGCGCCTTTGAAGTCGTCTTTGTTTGAGAGTATTAATCAAATTCAATTTTAAGTGAGGATCAAAACTGGACAAAACAGACTCCTTACATCTATGGCTCGGGCCTGAGCCTCTGGAAGCCTTGCTTGTGAAGTAAAGAAGCTTTGAAAGAAAATCCAAATTTCAAAGACTTTACAGTCAGATTTCTGGGAGAATATACATCACACTCCACCATCTCAGCACCTCCTGCTGAATCTGAGATAAGTCTTTATCTTTAAAAGGAAATTCAAGGACTTTCAACTTTGAATTAATTTTTAAATGTTTAGTTTAAAGATTTTTTTCTTCAGTTTGTTTTAAAATCATAAAAGACTATTTTAAAAAACAATTTGTGAAATAAAACTGCGGCAACAGATTTATCCTGGAAGTCCAAAAATCAGGTATGGATCAGTGACTGGGGGATTTAATCTGACTTTTTATTTCAAGTTTCATTTCAGAAACCTTTTTTTGTTTTTTTTTCGGGTATGTTTGGGTTAAATCACACAACTGTGTTCTAGTCTAAAAGTATGAAGTATTGCCAGGCTATCCCTGGACAGCACACAGTAGAGCAAGATGTTTATAAATGGCTGCATTTGAAGTAATGTTCTGAGATGTGAAGGAAATATGTAGAAGGAAATGTTTAATTGATAGGATTTCATTTGTCAAACATGACTCATTTCTATCACAGTGGTTTGCTAAATTCTTAATCAAAGGCAAATTACCATCACTATTACTGCTTGAAAGTAAGAAAAGTAGAAGAACGCTTAAAATTTGATATAATCTTTGGCTTGTCTTTTTTTATTTGCATCTAATTTATACATTTTGATTCACCAAAAACACATTTTCTCACATGTATATGTAGATGTAGGATCGCAGGAAACCTGGGTTGAATAAGTGTTATTTTTTTTAAAAAGTGTTATAAGTTTTACCAAGACGAAACAGCTTAACACAAAACTATTCATGCCACTGGCAGATTTTAAAGTCAGTCTTGTTTTCTATGACTGAAATAGTGATCGCTTTGAGTCGGACACAATCTGAAAGATAATCTGTGGATAGAGCGAAAGATTAGGGTAATGGCAAGGAGACTTTCCTTCCTCAAAACTTTGTAGCTCATCACCCAAAATAGAACATTACAATTTCCTTTAAGAAATGTAGCTGACGGTTGAGGAACTATAGCGGATTAGTTGTTGTAAATTCAATAAAGTCTATTTTTTTTTATTATTAAGAAACCCCTATAATGATTTTCAATAGACTTTTTTTTATGAATAAAAAAACAAAAAAAAATAACACTACTTATTCACTCAGGTATAACTGTCTCACATCTTATAAAAAAGCACTGTATGAATAATTTTGCAGGCCTCTAGTTTTAACTGGCCTATTTAGGTGAAAATCACACTAGATGGTAACAACCCAGATAATTCTGAAATTCAGGAAAATCCAAACCAGTAATTTAATATTTATCATTTAACATATATTAATCTTATTCGCAAAAAAGTGGAATTACACAGGGAAGACATGAACAAAAAGGGGTGCAAAAAGGGGCAGAAAGTAAAAGCAAGGTTCAAATCTGTCAGAGGTTGGAAAAAATCCTATCATTACCAATTCATTGCTTGTTAGGTAATGAACATACTAGATGATAAAGGATCTACTTGCTAAGGTATTGTACAAGAACGCCTGTAATGGCATGCAAAAGTACGTTTAAACTTTGCTCATTAAATATGGTTGTAGAAGGTGGGGGAGACTGCCAGCTGCTACATGCAAAACAAAGCCTTTACACGCTGCCAGTTTTTCACCGGGAACCACATAGAATAATGTTATCCACTTACTGGTGATGCTTGCCGGATCTTTTTGACAGCTAGAGACTAAAACCTTCAGCAATAGTTGGATTCAACAGTTAAAGTTAAACAGTTAACAGTTCAAGTAATTTTTTAAAAGACCCGCCCTCTCCACTTTCAAAAAATGTATATGCAAAAACCTGTACCCACACCCGAAAGGGGAACACCTATCAAACGGCGTGCACGCTCTGTTTAAAAGTTGGTGTTCTCATAGCTCATACAAGCTTACTGTGTCCAAATGTCCGCCCTAACCCCTAAAACCCTCAATAACTATATAAAGCGGGGACTACATAGTGGACTTTATAGCAAACTCAGTTAACTTACCGTTCAGACAGATGATCAGTGCTTCTTGCTCCCCATTGGTCGGTGCCTGCGCCATCTTTGTTATTAGTTGCCGCTGTCGGATAGCGACAGCCTATGGCGATAGCGGGCCGCTGTGACAGCAAATTCCGGGATATATCTGCCTCTTCTGATAGCCTGACGTAGTCCTACTCAATTCTAGTCAGAATATGAGTCTGATACTGCTCCATAGAGCTGTGATTATGGGGCGTGTTTCGAACAAACCAGGAAAAAAAATGCCTCTGCACTCAATTGGATAGACCTACAACCAATAAGAGCAACGGAGTGCGTGACGTATGTTAAGCGAGGCATAGTTGTTGTCAACAAAAATCAAAGCGTGCAGTTGCACGCCTAGAATAAGAAGATGAGCCTTGATCGCGTTTCTCTGTTCCTCTTTTAAAATTAATTTGCTGTCGATATCTTCTAGAACAGACCTAATAGCAGAATCTACACACCTAAACTCTCCAACGGCAGCCATTGTTGTTGTCACCCAAGCGCGCTTTGGTCAAGTGGTTGATTACGTTACTGTTGATCATCTGTCCATCATCGTATAAAGCCCGCCCTGACAATTTGATTGGCCCGCCAGATAATGTGCGAGCATACTCGCGCTACTACTGAGCAATGCCAGACCGAACTTCCCAACCTCAAACGTTGTGGGCGGGACTAAGTTTAGAATGGCACCCAGGCTACTCTTCTGAGGCTTTTCTTTTCTTCTCATACACTTCATAGACACTTTTACGACACTCAGCCATTTTCAAAGAACCTCGGTGAGAAATGTGAGCTTCAATGACTTGCTGAAACTGTATCTTAACAAACATATACGCCTTAAAGTGTACATGCGCAGAAAATATAGCAAACAGGACAAGCGCGTTGGATGGCCTTATGTAAACATATCACCAGAATGATTGATAATTAGGGGGACCACTTATGTTGATGATCCACCCGGAAATAAAAGATCGTCCTCTAAATCTTTAACTTAGGCAAACAACAAGTAATCACACCCAACAACAATGGCCATAATAAACACTCAGTGCTCTCCACTATTGAAAAAAATGCAGAATAAAACACTTTTGAAGTCAGATGCAGAATATCTAAAAAAAATCCATAATACCAAGACTATAGTTACGTTAACTGAGACTAAGGGGGAAGTCTTTGAATGGCATTGCATGCATAATGTTGAGAGAGAAATGGTGCAAATCGAACTATCGACACAAACACACTATCAGCAGTGAGCCTTGAATGTAGAAATGCCCTTATTTGGTGTTGTTTTTAGCAGACTACTGGTAAACCATGATAACTGAATAAAGGGTGAATATAGAAATGTAGCGGGATATTCTTAATAAAAATCTAAAGGTGAAAAAAGGATGGATTCTCAGCAAGACAGTGATCCCAAGCAAACAGCCAAGGAAACTCTCAAGTGACTTCTGAGAAAAAAGAAAACTCCTTGAAGATTAGATTGCTGAGAAGAGGCCTCCAGAAGCTTTAAGGATTTGAAGTCAGTTAATGTAGAAGTATATCTCAAAATCACACCAGAGCAACACGTGAGTTTTTTTTCTGTACAGGAGACATCTTAAAGCTCTATATACTGAAAGAAATTTTGAAGAATGTCGAGTAAATGTTTTCAATACATTTTCCATGTGTCATTCTGCTTTTTTTTTAGACATAACCTTATTTGATAGACTGATTTTTTTTAGATTTCTCATTGTGTGAATTACTTGGGTTGTTACCAACATCAGGTGTGAATTGTATGTAATTTTAATTATTAAAAAAAATGTGTTTAGTTTTTATTTTCCTAGTTGTATATTACATTATTTCCTTGCAACAAATCTCCTAGAAGTAACACATCGTTTTTCTGTTTGGGTATTAGTGTGTTTGGCCTCATATGTTTAGATAGCAGCAAAGCTCCCCTCTGAGCAGCACAGATTAGATGAACAGCCTCCTCTGCCCTGCGTCCTGCAAACCCCTATTTCATTACAGCAAATCCTGCCCCTATGTCTGAATTCGTGATAGTGATCCGCAAGGTAAACATTTCTGCTTCTTTAGCTCTACTTGAAAACCACACAAAGGTTTGTTTTTTCCACGTCTAAGTGAGTCTATCAAATGCAAAGGATGCAAGGTGTTATGTTATTGATCTACCCACAGCGCATAGCCAATATTTAGCCACGTCATGCAATGTGGTGTGTGGAGACACTTCATTTGCAGCCGGACAAGGTCTCCAGGCGTGGGTTTTATTTCCCAGAGGATGGAACAGTGTATTGTTCGGAAACCAGCTGATGTTTTTTCATTTATTGCCCTCTATGCGTCCCTTGTAATTCTCCAGTGCCCTGAGCACAATTAGACAGTCAAGCCCCTCAAGGCAAAGTCAGCTTAGGCATGGCCAATTAGTTTCTCAAGCGATGTCAGAACTCCTTTGAACTGCCGTGTCGGCCTGTTGCATAGGCACTGATTCGGGTTGACGGTACTGCAGTGGCAAGCCTCTGCACTGTGACCTATTTTTAAGCCAGAGAAATATACAGAGGGTAGCGAAGAAAATCTAAAACTTGAATTTCTGAGTGAGCCAGGCCTTTCACTGTAACCCCAAAAAGCTCTTCAATAAGATCACACAAACATATCCGGAAATGTTAAATATATACCCCGAATGTCTTCTGTAGGTTTTTGTTCCTTGTTTTACTTTGAAAGCGTGAATTTAAATTACTGCTTGCTGCTGAATGTTTCTGCTGTATGTGTGAGTGATAAGTAAATGGGTGTATTCACCCTGTAAGTGCTTCTCAACTTGAGAGCCTGTGTGAAAAGATACTGCGCCCCTGCGATATGATTGTCACTTGATGCTTTCCTCCTCTTAGGCAAGGGACCAGAGACTCTCCTTGTAGGCGAGAAGCTGAATGACAATGAGTGGCACACAGTGAAGGTGGCACGACGTGGGAAGAACTTGCAGCTTTGTGTTGACAATGTGACAATGGAAGGTAGAGTTGAGAGAAAGAATTCAGGCTTATTGAAAGTGTTTTAGCAGAGTAAGATAAATGGGTTTGTTCTGTAGGCCACATGACTGGTGCTCACACCCGGCTGGAGTTCAACAACATCGAGACAGGAATCATGACAGAGCGGCGCTTCATCTCAGTGATGCCTTCCAATTTCATTGGCCACTTGCAAGCGCTCTCCTTCAATGGGATGCTCTACCTGGACCAGTGCAAGAATGGAGACATCTCCTTCTGCGAGCTTAATGCTCGATTTGGCATGAGACACATTGTGGCCAATCCTGTGACTTTTCTAACTCAAGCCAGCTATTTGGCCTTTTCCACCTTGCAGGCCTACGCCTCCATGCACCTCTTTTTCCAGTTCAAAACCACCAGTACTGATGGCCTGATACTGTATAACTCTGGAGATGGCAGTGACTTCATCGTAGTGGAGCTGGTCAAAGGGTGAGTACAGAGATGTTTCATGCATATAATCATGAGCGCCTGCCAGACTTTTGCAATACTAAGGGCAGGGATTCCATATTAATTTGAGGGTTTTAATGATGCATGACTTTTCTTCCCATATCAGGATAATACAAAAATTCAGCTCTAATGCTCTTTTAAACTGAAAATAAGTTTTATGTATTTTCTCTAGTCTCTGATCTTTTTTGGGATTGCTGGTTCTGCTATATTTGACCATTTTTGAACCAGCTTCATTTTCTCTTCCTGACAAAATCTTTAATGTTATGAAGCTCATAAAGTGTGCATTTAACTTTTTTCTCCTTAAAAGTATTAAATATGTTTTGAAGATACTAGCTCTTCATCTCCACTCTTTCATTAACTCATGTTAGTTTAGGAGCTGTTCCCTCTGCCTTTAAACATGCAGTGGTCTGTCATTCTTTTTAAGGAAACTACACCTTCATACACCGTCTTTATCATATATTTGACCCATTTCATGGGCGAGGTTCCACAAGGTTCTACTTTAGGCCCTACATTTTCTATCTAATATATTTTTCCTCATAAATCATTCATGGACCAGCACAATTAGTTCACTGCTATGGTGATAAGACTTTTTTTAAACTAAGAAAAACCAGAAAGGATTTTGTGCGGCAACACAACTTTTGAGTTCCAACTCCTGAATTCAGCGACTTCAAAAACTCTCAGATCATATTTGTTTAAAATTTGATAAACATATCCCTGCTACCCACTTTACTCTTAAGTATAGCCCACACATTTCAAATTTAATTGGTATCAATGCTTAAAAAGTGACTATAGGCTAATTGTTAACCTTCCAGAACGGCTTTAGGTTTGTGTTTGAGATTTTGTCCTGCTGGCTCAGCCAGTTATACCACATTTCAACCCTCTGATCCAAAGGGTTCTGTTAAAACATGGCTACCTCAAAGCCTGAAGTCTAATCCATCCACTTTTACAAGTCAAACTGAGAAATTATATAGAAAAGTTTCATGGTCGGTTGCTGTGTGACAATGACATGAAGCATGTTTAGAGCAGAGCCGTTGAATAGGAGAGTTCAGCCTGTGGAAGACCAAGTAAGTTGCTAGTGGTCCATTAATATGGTGGAAGTGCTTGTTAGCCCATTCGGGCAGATCTGTGACAGACACAATACTTTTGGTAACTACTTTACAAAATACACAACCATTGCAAAAAAAGTAATGATTGAGTGTTTGTACTCCATATTATAGCTCTGTTGTTAGTCATATAAAATGTGTTTCTTCTTTTTAGGTAGAGCCTGTTTCAATCTTTTTCAGTTGACTCATATGTAACGTTTATAAATGTTAATGTTGTGTTTTCTTCACCAAAGATGAGTAGACTATAGATGTATTCATGTAGGACTAACATGCTCTGCTGTCTATTGCTAATAGTGGCTAACTTTGCTCGAAATATTTAAGCTCTGTATGTCGTTGATGCCCTTTGACATGTTTCCCACTGTCGTCAATGGAGTTGTCAGAACTCTCTTATCTAGACAGCTCTGCTTTAAAGAACTTAAGTAAAGGTTTTCCAACTGTCGATCATTATTATCTGTTTCACTGCTAATTATACTGATGCATTCCAGAGTGATGGGAACAATTAAGAAGAAAGGCTTCATCTTGGACTGTCAGCTTTGCTTGATTTCTGCAGCTAGATGGTGGAAAGCCTGGAGTTTAAATATTAGGAATGTGACCAAACTTGCCTCATAGCTGGGATAGCCATGTTTGGAACAGCCCAGTCCAAAACCTTGATGAAGAGTTTTGGGATTTTTCTTACAATCAAAGTCTGTGACATTAAACTAACCAATTTAACTGAGCTACCTAATTTACGATAAGAATTGAAGGTGAAGTATCAAACATTATTATGTCAAGAGCTTGCTGTGGTTACAAAGTATGTTTGGTCTGCAACTTACCAGGGAGCTTTCATTGAAGTATTAATTAATTTATAAATGCATAACATCCTGCATACTGTGGCTGTTACCTTCTCATTAATTTATTAACAATAAGAAAGAATGCAAGTTCAAACACTTGGGTAGCCTCCATACACAAGAACTTTTGGCATAAGCGACCTAAATATCATTCAAATGAGTTTGTTTGTTTAAATTAAAGATACATTTTCCTGGAGAGAATATCATAAAGCCGCTGTGGATCCAGAGCCAGCAAAGGGAACAATTGTGTTATCCCACTGAAATTCCAAGCAGAGACTCTCTGTCAGTGAGCAATTAATCAGCAGGAGGCCTTGTTCAGAGCAGCAGAAGCTCCAAAAGACAACACAGACAAAAAAGAAATAAATAAAAATGGCTCCCAACACTTCTGTCAGGGTTTTCAGGCTGTTCAGCGTTATGTGTGAAGTGTGGCAGCTCATTCATGGATGGCTCTTAACTTTGATTATTAACATAATTAGGTTTTGAATGAAGACTGTCTGATGACTATGTTTGAAATCAAATACACTCATTTGCAATTAAACCACATTATGTTATTCGAATCCCAGCAACAGACAATTAATTACTGCCAAATAGTACAAGTGGTAATTTATATGTCATATGGTATGAAAGGAAATAATTAGAGTTGAGAAATACAGATCTTGAACAAATGTATCCTGTTGTAGGTACATTCATTATGTTTTCGACTTGGGCAATGGACCGTCACTAATGAAGGGAAACTCTGACAAGCCTCTCAACGACAACCAGTGGCACAATGTGGTGATCTCCCGTGACAACAACAACGTGCACGTACTTAAGATTGATTCCCGCACTGTGACTCAACACACCAATGGAGCCCGCAATCTGGACTTAAAAGGTAAAAGTCTCTCCAACACTTGAAAGCAATGCAGATATTAAATGTCTGCTGCTGTTTACGCCAACATCTAACAATTAAAATAACATATCTGAAAAATACTTTTGCTAAATAGGTGTTTTCTCCTTTGATTCATGCTTACCAGGGGAGCTGTACATTGGTGGTGTTGGAAAAAGCATGTACAGCAGCCTTCCCAGGTTAATTGCTTCCCGGGAAGGCTACAAGGGCTGCCTGGCTTCAGTGGACTTAAATGGAAGGCTCCCAGACCTCCTGGCAGATGCCCTTCACAAGGTGGGAGAGGTGGATCGCGGCTGTGGAGGTGAGTGTAAATAAACCCCAAATCATGTCTACAGAAAGGGCTGGAAAAAGCACATAAAGAATAAAACAAAAAAGACAAAAATAACAATCTATGTACTTATTTTCACATATCATGTTGCAGCAAAATATCATAATACTTTTTATCTGCCCTGTTTTTTATGTTGTTTGAGCTCATAAAGGAACCTTTAAACTGTCTTAAGGTTTTTTCTGTTTTTTCAGTTCAAAATATTTTTTTTTAAACTGTCTTAATATAACAACATAACACAAACAAACCTTTGGAATGAAGACTCTGGCTGTTTCTTTGTAGTTTGGGTTAGTTATTGTTAAAAGAAGCTCTTCAGCATTTAAAGTAGGCCGTAATAGCTGTTACATATCCCTCTTTCCAATTTTGTTTTGTTTTGATTATTGTTAAATTTGTTGAGTGTGTTTTTACACTGAAGGTCAATCACAAATGACTTTAGAAGACGATTAAAGACCAGCGGCCATTTATACCAGGAGCCATTCACTCACATCCATGCAGCTGCCGAGTGCAGTGGGGTTGCTATGGCAACTGGGGCATTTCTGAGGGAGCTAGAAGCTGGGTTGGGACTGTGCCCTGAGCTGAGCTATGCCAGCTTTCTAAAATTAAATTATCCACATGTAAGCAAGTTTCATAAAAATTCTGTACAATGCAACTGAACAGAAAAAACCTTAAATAGCAATTTGCCGTGCGTGCCGTTTTTACTGATGTAACTGCTAAAAGTACAAAGCTCTACAGAGAAACCCTCTCTTTAGGTTTGATGGCTATTAATCATTTGTTGTAATAATTAAATGAAAAGTACACATTCATGGAACATCTTAGCAAGGGGGCCTGGATTAACATACAGCCTGTTGTTTAGCAGCAGAGGAACAAAGCAATGATATACATCACGAGGAAGAGACTTTATCACGCCTTTACTTATTTTTATTACCATGTACCTGTCAAAATGAGTGACTGTCGGCTTTTTGCAGAGGAAACTACAGTTTTAGATTGTTCTTATCTAAGTAATGTGTGTTACAGTTCTTATTTAAACAAATCTATCAGTCTAGTTTGAAAATTCTCAGTCCCACAACAAACACATGTGTAATTCAAAACTGTATATCATTCAATTAGGGATTTATTTTTAAACCTTAGCTGGAAATCATTGTATTTTCATTTTTACTGTGTAGAGTACTTTTGATCCATATGTGTTAGGCCTAACTAGGCCAAATCAGTTCAGTGTATAAGGATTTAAAGAAAATGGCACAAGGACAAAAAAAAGGACACATGACAGGGAACTAAAAGCACCAGGAGCTTTGGAAGTAACTGATAGATCAGTTAACCAGATGGGAGGTTAAAGAGCTGAGAGGCTTTTAAAAAGATGGGAGAGTTTGGGAGTAATAGGTGAAATCAGGTGTAATTAGCAGGATATATGGTTCAGCTGGGGAAGAAACAATCATGAAGAAAATAAAACCATGGAAGGCTATTAATAATAGATGGACTGATCAAAGGGGAAGATGAAGCAAACAACAAAAGAAATATAAATCTGAAAAACACCTGGTGCACATTTACTTTTTATTAAACCTACAAATACCTCAAAAAATTAATTAATAAAATTGAATGTAAGTTCAAACACCTGGTTAGGCGCTAGGCGTATGCGTACCCCTGGACGAGAATCGCTGCTGTAGGGAATTGAAAATAAATGCATGCTGCCCTCTTCAGATTTTTATTTCCAAATCATTTTGAAAAAAGAATAATGTCCCATCATGTGAATAAGCAGCTTGATCGACACATTACTACGTACCTTTATGCGCAGGTGTCTTTTTCAGATTCTTTTTGGTTTCCTTCTTTCCTGTTGAGTAAAAGCAAAGTTGCGTAATGCAAAGTGAAAATCCTTTGCTTAATCTGCTGTGAACACCCTGCAGGCCCCAGCACAACCTGCACAGAGGACTCCTGCCACCACCAAGGTGTGTGTCTGCAGCTGTGGGAGGGCTTCTCCTGTGACTGCACCATGACCACCTACGGAGGACCTTTCTGCAGTGACCGTAAGTAAAGGAGTATCATGCCTGACTGGCCATATTTCTGGAAAATTCTGTTTTGAAGTTCATCGCTGAAACAATGCAGTTGAAATTCAACCAGAGTACAGTAACAACTGAAAACATGTTAGAAAGAACACAGTCGTCTTTTTAATTCCTGAAGGGATGAACCCTTTAGGTTGTGTCCTTTCATGCATTGAAGCTACTTTCCATTTACAACCTAATACAATTTTAATGACTTTTTGTCTTGGAGGTTTTACAATCTATGGACTGATGGTAAGTTTTAGACCACGATATCAGTTTACTGTGTAAACAGCATGTAAACAAAAAAAAAATAAAAGAATCCCTTTGCATTTTATTTTATTCTTTAAACAACATTGATCCATAACCCACCGTTCTACCATATTACAACAACCAAATGTATTTCCTATGTATTACTGTTCATGAATAATACATCCAACTGTTACTAAAAGCTTCTGATATTAATTATAGCAAAGCATTCGGTTTATTAGGCCAAGTAAAGCTTCATTTGCTGCAGAATCATTTACAACAACTGCAAGAAAAGTGCTTCTGTGGTAATTGTTTTAAAACATGCTTTAATGTTGTACTTTTTAAAAGAGAAAAGCATTATACAACAGGGGCTCTTTTAGATGATAATTTGGTGATAAGTGGTATGCTGGTTAAGCTGTTAATGTGAAAAAAGACACTCCAAGGATATGAATTCATACATTTGCTCACACTGATTGAAGCTTCGGGTCAGAGATTAGTGAGTAGTAACAAGAAGATGCAACGATGAAACTGATGAAACCTTGTCATTGATACTTAGAAACATGTTTATTTACACTTTCAAATTGCAGAAACTGCTTTCCTGTTTCTGATATTTTCCTGGATGAGTCTTTTTGTTTTGTTTTAGAGTAGTTAAATACACTTTTCTATATTCTTTAAAGCTGGGCATACACTGTGGGATCTTTTCAATCGTTGCACGCAGCTACGGCTCACACTGTACGTCTAAAAACCACGTTGGACTCCACAGTGAGATGGCGCTACTTGGACTCGTCTATCTGGAAGCTAACTGAGCAGAAGAGGAATATGAAGCTCACTAGAGAGAAACGTGCTGCCTTGGCTATTTGTGCAATTTTGTGCTAAAAGCCCTAACAAAAGGCGACAAGTTTTTTAGACAAAGACATGGCTGAGCAAAGATAACTACTACGGTAAATTTTACAGAAAGAATTAAATTTCACTCATTGCACCCCTGCCATACTTGTGTGTTTTCATTTGAGGGGAAGAAGAAGAGTCCTTGTTTGTGCATGCCCACTGAGCGGTTTGCCCACGACGGTCGACTGAAAATCAAACATGTTTGATTTTCTCCCTACCCCACGATTCGCGATCGGGAGGTGGTCGTGAGAGGCTGATCGCCCCTCGTTACCCTCTGTACACTACACAACACATGACACACGATCAGACTGAAAGTCGGGCTGATCAGAAAATTCTCCCACAACTGGAAAGTCGCCCCGAAAAGGGCAAAAAAATCACTTGGTGTAAGCCAGGCTTAAGACATCCGGTTATGTGCAAAGACAGTAAAAAGGGCAACTTAAGATGCACTGAAAGATCAACCTTTGAGGATAAGGAACAGGTCAGTTTCTAGTTTTACTGGAGCTTAAAGGTTATCTGCCAATCAGACACTCAACAGTGTGATCTTTGCATTAAATGAGCCATACCTACAGTCCGTGTTAACAGGTCCTGCTGACAGTAGCAGTCTATTTTTACAGTGGAAGAAAGCTCAGCTGTTTAAAATAATGGTAAGTGTTCATAAGGGACACTACAGGATGCATCAAAGATTTAAGCAGCCGTTCGAAAGGAATCTCTTTAAAGGTTAATTAAAATTAGCAGCACATTTGGACGGAAAAACGCTCAGTGTAATTTGGTAGAGAAAGCTAATTGGGTCATGTGACATTAGAGTACAGCTTCACGGCAGTCTGATCTCCTTGAACACCTAAGCTAAGCTTAACCTTTTTGTTAGACAACACAACAGATACAGTATGACACTTACCTGATCACATATGTTTGCCTAGAATTTAATCTAGAAGGATAAATGTTCCTTGTACCCCGATGATGTCTTAATCTGCTGCCCTAATCATATTGCAGCAGTGCCGTATTGTTACTTGCTTTCATAAAACCAAATCTGGAAGTTACCCTCAGATATATTTTTCCCATACATTAACATTTATGTAAATTTATTTCAAAAGAAATGCTCATTTAGTTTTCTTTATATGATTTTAACACAAACCTATGAAATAAACCTTACATGATCCATATTAATTTGTACAATAAAGCTTGTTTTTTATACACAATCATTAGGTTTTTGAATTTAGTATTGATCTATTATACTATAATAAGTGTACTTATTTCAAATACATAAAGTGCATTGTTTGAAGTGCATAATAATCAGGTTACTTTTATACACTTCAAACAATAAACTTTATACATGGGAACAAAATACACTTTTGATCAAATATACTTTATTAAATCAAAATATTTAAACATGAAACGTGTTTTAATTAGATAAGCTTTTTTAATGAATGAATATGCATCATGTTAAATTAATTGCATAGGTTTTTGTTAAACATATCTTTAAAAAAAAGTAAATGGGAATTTGTAATATTATATAAAAATGTTTTGTGAAAAAAATAATTTCTAACATTTGGTGAAATATTTCTGAGTGTAAAGGTCTTCACATTTGCATAACATTTACACAGTAAACATGGTTATCTTACGCTTTTCCATATAGACCACTAACATTTTCTGCGTGCCTATAAAAGTGTAAACTGATGTGCAGATTTTCACTTCACAGTAGTGTTTTGAAATTGTTTTTCCTCTTATCATTTTAAATCAAACGCTTGTGTGGTTAAATGTCCTTGTATAACCTCTTTTTATGTTGTGAGCTGTTTATTTATTTATTTATTTTTTTAGAAAATACTTCCAACAGTTTTTTTCTTTCATAAAAAAGGAGCAGCATAGTTTTGATCTTTATTATTGTTGAATGGGATGCCAGTTGAGTTTCGTACTGTTGGTATGGGGGTTATCCGTTCTAATTACAAATCTACAGGAAAAACCACACAATCCAACCTTGGCTGACTTTTGTAATTTCAGATATCTAATGGTATTTTAGTTATTTGGGACCTATTCAGATAATTTAGACTATTATGACATTTCCTCAAGTATCGCCAGCATCATGTTGTAAATGGTAACAATTGGTTTGCAGGGATAGAAATTAGACGGCGTCTGATTTCAGTGATGCATCAATATGATTAGGATGGTTTGAACGATAGCCTTGATTCCGCCCTTTCAGTTTATCTGCCCCCTCTTTTTTTAACCTCTTCTCAGAGAAAAACCTGCTTTTAATTCATCAGAAAATGAAAAAATAAATGAGACTTTTCATAGCATTGCAATAAAACACATTCACCGAAGCCAATTTCATTGCAGCTCGTTCTGATTTTCATCTCTACGTTTCTGAGAGGCCTCTCAATCATGCCGGTGATAAATGGCATGGCAGGCCAATATCAAAGGTCAAACCAATAGATCAGACCCGTTTGGAGTAAATAACAAGCCTCGTGCTTCACATTACACCATCACTGAATCCATAAAGAGGAAAAAAAATGTAGCTGTAAGGTGTAAACCTTTTGCGGTGTAGCAATGACTAGCTCTGCTGCATTGCAGCAAGGAGGTCCTGGGTTGGAATCTAGTTTGTGTTGATTAGTCCACTGGCTTCCTCCTGAAGTCCAAAAAGACACATATTGGCTTAATTGATCTCTGAATTGCCCTGAGGTATAAGTGTTTTTTTTCCTCTTTGTTAAACTGTGCTAGACTGATGAATGATCAATATACGGATGCATAAACATGGATAAAGATGTGGTTTTAACTGCATTTAGCATTTAACCATAGAGCTTATTCTTTCCCACCAAAAGTGTCCAAGATTAAATTTGTCAGCATCTTATTCTGTAATCTACTCCTCCTTAGCTTTATCCTGACAGTCTGAAGCAGTTTTTTCAGACAAAGGGTTGGAAAGAGACTGTGCTGTTATTTACCCATTAGAGAAAAAAATAGATCCCTTCGAGTGGGTTTGTCACATTGCATTGATATTCATATACAGACACCATCTAACTGAGTTTGCTATAAAACATCTGTGCTTATTATTTCTAGGTCATGGTTTCATCGGCAGATTTAGCAAGAATGATGATAGGTGCTTAATTTCCAGCTCTTCCTCCTCTAAACATATGGAGTGTGTAATTACTGGTTAACCTTTGCAGGTACTGATAATTGATTTCGCATATTTATTACCTGCCTGTGTGTTTAAGTTTGTCACAGTAAAAGACAGAAACTATATGTAGCTAGGAAAAATTCATTGCTTTTTTTCAACTTTCATTTAGCATTTTGAAAAAAAACACTGTGTCAACTAATGTGATAATTTTGACTCCCCAAGATGACATAAACAACACAGCGTTGGTGAAAGGCGCCATGTGCAACCTCTGGTTTTAACTAAGAGTGGCAAAGCCGCTCAAGAAACTAATTGACTTCTGCATCCTCCCACTCGGCCCCTGCCATGTCAGTCAACACACAATAAGTCCCACCACACACAAGGTAATCAAACGCGGGAAACTCATAGGCAGAACTAATCCTACGTTCTGCAATAATGTGCAAGTCAGAATTTTACTGGCATTCTCTGAATGGCTTTCAAGGTTAAACACAATTTAATGCTCCAGAACATGGTATCCAAACTCTGGTTCTGTGTTTGACATTTAGGTAACCCTGAATAAAGCTCTGGATTTTAATATTACTGGCAGCACATGCAGGAAGATGCGAAACAATTGTTCAAATATACTTTTTGTATATATATATATATATATATATATATATATATATATATATAAATATATAAATATATAGATTAGATTCAACTTTATTGTCATTACACAGGTACAGGTACAATGCAACGGAATGCAGTTTAGGTC